TACTGAAAGTATATATACCGTAAATACTCTATTTAAGCCCACCTCTAATATAAGCCCATCCGAGAGGGCCTATTGAGAAATAGAAGCCCACCCAACCTCTTGTAGAAGCCCACCTCTAATTCAAGTTTTTTCAGATGACCCACTGAAAAATATAAGCCCAGGGCTTCAATTAGAGTATTTACGATATTCAAGTAACTCATCTTTCTCCTCGATCCCTTCCTTTTTACGTCAGTTCAAACCCCTCTAGAGGTGTCTTATTAGAGAGATTTGACTGTAATAATAAAAAACATCCAGGATATCTTCACGTATCCTTTCTCTCCTTCTTACTTTCTCATAATCATTATTTTCCTTCAAAAATTTTTTAGATGACATTTTATCCCATAATTTTTATTTTCCCATAAAACGTCGAAAAAATTTATTTTTTTTCTCTTAAACCACAAAAATAATTTTATTGGCACGGAGAGAAAGCAATGGAAGGACCCCCGAAAAATAAATAAAAAATAAAAAAATAAAAAATGACCAAGCAAGTCAGTGGTTTTCTGTTGCTGTCGTTTCTTTTCCCTTTGCGCGTCTCTAAAAATTTTTTCTCTTTGAAGAAAAAAAACTCGATTCATCAAAAAAAATTCCTCAATTTATTTATTTTCTTATTATTTTTTATCTTTTTATTTTTGTTGCTTTTTTGAATTGATCAGAGTAAAAATAAAAAGGAACCCAACAATTTTGAACAGAAAAAATTTTTTGAGAGAGAAATTCGAAATCTCAAAACTTATTCGAAATTATTCCACGCTCAAATTAACATAGTATCTTTTTTTAGTGAAACACGAAAATTTTTTGGAAATTTTTTCAAGTGTCTAATTAAGCTAGAAAAAAAGTCAGAAAATGACAGAAGAATAGAAGGGCAACCAAATAGAAGGGAAGAGTCTATATCAGAGTTTGGCGGGCTCGGGATCCCGATCGGACAGGATTATCTTGAATTTTTTTGAATACCGATCTTGAATACCGATATATTTTTACACCTTACTTACCGTATTTGCTCTAGTAATCCCCCAGGGGGATTATTGTTTCAACCCATCTCTAGGGTGGGGGATTAATAGAGCCTGGGGGATTATTAGAGTGGGGTAGAAAGAGGGGGATTATTGTTTCAACCCATCTCTAGGGTGGGGGATTAATAGAGCCTGGGGGATTAATAAAGGACTGGGGGATTAATAGAGCAAATACGGTAAAATTGATTTCCTCTATTCAATTCCTTCAGGCATTAGTTAGTTCCCTTTTTTTCTTCAATTTTTCAAAAAAATTTTTTTTCTTTTAATTTTCAAAAAATTTTTTTTTGCTTTCATAATTTTTGTTTAAATCGTTCCATAAATAATTAATATTATAATCTTCTTTAAAAAAAATTTATTTTTTTTTCTATTAATTTTAAAATACCCCCACCCCCCTTTTGCTCTACACACACCCTTAAATTGATAAAATACTTAAAACAGCAACAAATAAAGTCCTGTTTATTCTGATAATTTTTATTTTTTCATCATAAAAATGTCTTTTTATAGTAATTTATACCTGTTTAACTCTAAAAATTCATTGACTAAAAAAATTAAAATTTAAAAAATAAATATAGGGAGTGGTTTAGAATAAATATTTAGTAGAAAGGTAGACTACATTTTAAAAAGTGATTTAGGAAAAGAAATAATCTTTTTTTTTTCTTAAAATTAAAATGAATAATGATGCTTTCCGTTCCCTATATTATTTTGAAATAAACTGATCGAAAATCAAAATTTCAAAACAGATTTGGTTCGGGGAGACCTTCCTTCAAAAAATATTTTTCCATCTAATAAAACGGTCTCTCCCGTTTTATTTCTAACTTTGATCTCTATTTTTGATCCGGATATCGAGGATTTCCACGGATCTCCAATCCTAGTCCTATGCTATTTTTATCATATAAACTTAAATATCGCCAGCATCCTAATAAAAAATTTTTCTATTTTATCACATTTATTACAACAATTACAACAATACAACAATACAAAATATACATAGAAAAATACATATACATACGATACAATATATAATGAGATATAGCAGGGAATACAAATCAACCTGCAAATATATAGGGGGAATATAGGGAAATATATATATAGGGAAATTTGTGTATATATAGGGAGAATACACATACATATATAGATGGGCATATAGCCTAATATGTGAATATATGGGTATATAGGGAAATATAGGGAAATATATAGAGGCATATAGCCATTATAGAGAGAAATATACAATTTTTGTTGAGAGATTTGGAGAATATTGGGGAGGAAAACAATTAGATAGAGAATGAATGATTTACAATTATTTACAATTTATATTCTCTATATATCTCCAATATATCTTCTCAACTTCTCTCATCTCCTAGTTTCATCCTTAGCCGCAACCTTCACATCACCAAATATCTTTTTTCCTCTTCTCTTGAGCATCCGACAACAGATCCGTTGGAATATCCGAAAATTCTGACTTATCCGGTGCCGACTCCTTCTTCTTCTTGCCGCCCTTCTTCTTTTTCTTCTTGCCTTCGGAAGGTTTGGCATTTGACTCGAAGTACTCTTTCTCCTTTTGCTTGCTGAAATATTCGCTGACTTTGCTCTTATCGTCCCTTTTCGCAATCGCCTTTTCCACTCTGCCGTTGAATGCTTCCGAAGTCTCGTCTCCTTTCTTGAACATATCATTCTGAAAATAAAAGAAAATTTGTTTAAAACTTTTAAACTTTGTATCAAATCACCTTATTCCGCCACTCTCGGAAAGTCCCAGTTGCCTCGAAACCTCTTTCCTCCAATGCCGGCAGATACAATTTTTTGAGAATTTTTTCGATCTTTACCGCCTCCTTTGCATGCATCCTGTCGAAGATTTCATCGACGAATTCTGCTTCCAAGGAAGGCTTTTCTGCGACAGAGCGTTTGATGTTTTGTTCAGCAATCTCCGTGTTGTTTCCAGCATTGGCCCAATAGTTCTGAAAGTGAAAGAAATTAGTTTGGTCAAATTAAGATTAAAATTACCTTCTCCCAACGTTCTTCTTCCTCCTCTTCTTTTTTCTGCTTTTGATGTTTCCGGTAACAGCAGAAGCCGACGACACTGAGGCCAATTACAGCAATCACCACAGAAATCACCACAGCTATCCAAATCACGATACTGCTTCCTCCTTCGGTGGCCGCTGCTTGCACGTTTGTTGTAGTTCCGTCCACCTTTTGTGGCGTTGGAGTTGGAATTGTTTTCCCGGGTGGTAGTGATGGTGGTGGTTGTTTGGTACCTGGGTCTGGTTTCCGTGTTGTTGTAGTTGTGCTTGTAGTCGTTGTTGGAGGGACGACTTGGAGAAATTCATAGGCTGGCCTTTTCTGAAAGATAAAATTTAGGTGAATTTTTTGAAAGATTAGTCTTACAAACTGAATGAAGAGATCGCATTTTGGTTTTGTCGTAAGTGCTCCCTTGTTTTCGCCTCCTTCGTACCTTCTTGTAGCATTTGGCGGAAGTAGATGAAAAACGAGCAGATGTTTATCCTTCAGGTCTCCTTTTATGATTTTCCATGTTGTTGGTTTGGCAATGGCATTTTCTTTTGGAAGGCAGCTAATCGTCTCTATTTTGGTGTCAAATTTTGATTTCGCAAGTTCCTCAAAATCCATTGTGAAGCTGCTATCGCTATCTATCATCAGATTGAATTCCATTTTTTCACCACGTGGTCTTTTTTGGTCTAGCCCAGTCTTACGCTCACCAACTAAAATGATTATTTCAAATAAAAATTATCGTTATCTTACTTAGATGGGTGTGAGCGTATACATATAATTTTGGGTCCTTGATACATTGACTCCATGAAACTTCGAGAAATGTATGCTTCATGCAGTTTCCCCCGCAGTCATTTTTTTCAGCACACGCAGTACCACCATATAAAGGACTCTTGTTGAGCTCTTTGAGTTCCTCATTGGTTCTGCTGTACGCGAAGGGCAGTCTAAAGAAATATATTTACTATACTGTACTTCCTTAATCGGCATAAACTTAGAACTTACAGATTTGAAAAGCCATTCTCAAAATAGTGAAGATTAGGCTTGCACATTTCTGGTTTGCAGTTACTGTCTTTCACTCCTGTTTTGAAATTGATCTTGCTCTTTTCGTCGGTGATCAGCTCCACAGTGCACCCTCTGCCTTCGTATAGAAGCTCACTGAAAAATTGAAAACGTTATTTCATCAAATTTTAAGGAAAAATCAGCTTACATGTTATCCTCGTCGATCAAGAAATTACAGACAGTAGGAAAAAGCTTCTTGTACTCGGCATACTTCAAGTCCTTGCCGGCCTGCTTACTGACTACTTTGAGCTTCACATCGCTTCCATCCTTGGTGTGTTTGGCGACTCCGACTTCCTCAACGATGGCCTGTCCAGGAACTGCAAGCAGCAGGAGCGCGGCGATGGATACCAGCAGCAGAGCACAAAGCGTTGTCGACTTCCTTGCCAAAGGTCCGGTGTTGTGGTCCATTGGATGAAGGAGGCAGAAGAGCATGAAGCGTTGTTGTGTTGTTTGTTTGGACGATGTTGACGTAGAGTTGAAGTGATTGAAGATTTTGTTGTGTTTGGAGGGAAGAATGAAACAGCCAACAAGGCTTTTATAGTAAATTTTAGTCTATTGAATCTTGTCTAATTCATGTACTTTTAGAATTTAATTGTAAATTCTTAAAATGTTTGGCTAATTTATTCATTAATTGCCTATTAATCACGTACAGTCAATGTTCCGGTTACCCTAAAAATTAAGCATTTCCATGTTCCGTTTCAGGAATTGGACGAACAGACAAAATAATCTAACTCAGGAATGTGTGGGGAGAATAAAAAATACTGTAAATACTCTAATATAAGCCCACTTTTGATATAAGCCCACCTAAAATTTTTTACGTGGAAATTTTAATAGAATTTATTAAATTAATGCAAAACATAATTTTTTGTTGGAAATAGATGTTTATATCCATTTTTTAAATTTTTTGTTGGTTAGCATTCAGCAAAAACATTTTCCTGCCGGGAACTGTATTTTGAATCTTTGATAGGGGATTTAAAGGACAACATGAGTTATTCGATATGACACCAAATTCTCTTAATCTGTTTATATCCATCTTAATCTCAAATCCCTGCATATCTGCTCCAGTTCAACTTAACCATTTTAATCACTCGATATCTAACTTAACCTTGATATCTTCCCATATTCTTGATATCCCCATTAGGGTAGATGTCCAGCTCGTGTCCCGCATGTCCGCAAAAGGCATTCTGCAAAAATGCTTTTTTTCTGCCTTTCCCTCTCCTTCTTAATTTTCCTCGTCAAATGACGAATTGAAAGTTTTAAATCAGAATTTAAATTTAATAATGTAAAAAGATAAAATAAATTACTAAGTTAACAAATTAAGTTTAACATTGGATATTAGAAAAACATTTTAGTGTTTTTTCAATTTGACTATACAATCTGACCACAAATTACAATATATTTTTTCCCAAATTGAATTCACCTTACAAAGGAGAGTGCCTGGGGTGTCCGCGGGACTTCAGTATGAAAGTTTGCAAATAGGTACGGCAAAATCGCACTCCCAAAATCCAGTTAACAGGATTTTTCAACATGTCGAACGGGAGGGATTTTCTTCTCAGTTCCGACCCGAAAATTTAGCAAAAAGTCATTAATATTTTGCAATTTTTCTTCAATTTTTCAAAGTTTTCTTCTTTCAACTTTCATAAAAAAATTTTTGGTACTTTTCCGTTATGCCACATCCCTCTAAATTAATGTTCTTAATGTCATATCTAGGAAATAAAAGGTGTTGAGTCGAACTGTACCACTCTTTTTTCCCGGGTATGTCTTAGGATCGAGATGTGGGCTCGAAATGGTCAAAAACCATAAGGGGGGTACGCATATTTTAGGGGTAAAAAATTCAAATATACAGTTAAATGCTCATTCGTAAGCTTAAAACTGTATATTCAGACACCCTTAAATTGATAAAATATTTAAAACAGCAACAATAAAGTCCTGTTTATTCTGATAAATTTTTTTTTATTTTTAATCATAAAAATGTCTTTTTAATGTTAGTTTATATGTACCTATAAACTCTAAATTCATTGACTAACATATTTAAATTTAAAAATAAATATAATCAGAATATAATCAGAAATAAAAATCAGAATAAAAATAAGAATAAAAAACAGAATAAAAAAATCAGAAATAAAAATCAGAATAAAAAATCAGAAATAAAAATCAGAAATAAAAATCAGAATAAAAAAAATCAGAATAAAAAAATCAGAATAAAAAAAATCAGAATAAAAAAATCATAATAAAAAAATCAGAATAAAAATCAGAATAAAAAAAACAGAAGAAAAAATCAGAAATAAAAATCAGAATAAAAAAATCAGAATAAAAAAATCATAATAAAAAAATCAGAATAAAAATCAGAATAAAAAAAACAGAAGAAAAAATCAGAAATAAAAATCAGAATAAAAAATCAGAAATAAAAATCAGAAATAAAAATCAGAATAAAAAAATCAGAATAAAAAAATCAGAATAAAAATCAGAATAAAAAAAAAGAAGAAAAAATCAGAAATAAAAACAGAATAAAAAAACGGAAGAAAAAAATCAGAAATAAAAATCAGAATAAAAATCAGAATAAAAAAATCAGAATAAAAAAATCAGAATAAAAAAATCAGAATAAAAAAAATCAGAATAAAAAAATCATAATAAAAAAATCAGAATAAAAATCAGAATAAAAAAAACAGAAGAAAAAATCAGAAATAAAAACAGAATAAAAAAACGGAAGAAAAAAATCAGAAATAAAAATCAGAATAAAAATCAGAATAAAAAAATCAGAATAAAAAAAATCAGAATAAAAAAATCAGAATAAAAAAATCAGAATAAAAAAAATCAGAATAAAAAAATCATAATAAAAAAATCAGAATAAAAATCAGAATAAAAAAAACAGAAGAAAAAATCAGAAATAAAAATCAGAATAAAAAAATCAGAATAAAAAAATCAGAATAAAAAAACAGAAGAAAAAATCAGAAATAAAAACAGAATAAAAAACAGAAGAAAAAACAGAATAAAAAACAGAATAAATAAACAGAAAAATTCTAGGAAAAAATATTTTCGGTTGTTCAAACGTCTCGCACTAATTTTTTCCATTCCTCTATGTATACTTTTTTTGAACTAAAGCTTAGTTTTGTTTCCATTTGACCTTCCCTCGTTTTTTAGATCCGGATATCGAAGATTTCCAAGGATCTGCCAATCCTATTTTTATCATAAAATTTAAATACATATATCCAGCCCCCTAATAAAAAATTGTTTTTATACATATTTCAATACATTTATTACACGAAATACAACTATACATACAATAAATATATAATGAAATATAGCAGGGAATACAACAATCAACCTGTAAATATATAGGGGGAATATAGGGAAATTTAGCATTTAGAGAAAAATACATGTTGAGAGATTTGGAGAATATTGGGAAAATAATTAGATAAAGAATGAATGATTTACAAATTATTTACAATTTATATTCTCTATATTTATCTCCATTTTTATCTTCTCAACTTCTAGTTTCATTCTTATTATAGCTTCAAATCCGCTTCACTTTGCCGCCCTTCTTCTTCTTGCCTCCGCTGACTTTGCTCTTATCGTCCCTTTTCGCAATCGCCTTTTCGACTCTGCCGTTGAAGTCTTCCAAAGTCTCGCCTTTTTCCGGGATCATTCCACTCTGAAAATGAAAGAAAAATAGATCTTCTCCATGTATTTGTCAATTCACCTTCTTCCTCCACTCTCGGAAAGTTCCAGTTGCATCGAAGCCTCTTTCCTCCAATGCCGGCAGATACAATTTGTAGAGAATTTTTTCGCTTTTTAAGGCGTTGTCCGTATCAGTAGTTAACCACCCCTCCAAGTCGTTGGGGGCAGCGGGGTCCAACCATTTAGCCCCTCCCATTAGTTAAACGATCATTCAACCACTCCGTCGTCAGAGTCCAAAAGTTCAAGGAGTTTCCAAAAGGTTTAAGAGGTATTTTGATCAAACCGGTTTGGGAGTAAAAATTTTAAAGAAAACCAAATTTTCTCCCTATTTTTTCACAATACACAACCAAAACGTTTCCCAAAAGTCAAGGTTTTAAGATGTGGTTTTGAACCGGTTTAACCGGTTCAAAGAAGAATTTCGCATACTCTTTAAAAGATTACATAACCATAAATTTAAAATAGTTCCCAAAGGTTCAAGATGATCAGAATTTCTTCTGAACCGGTTCAAAAGATGTACTCTTAATGATAATTAATGAAAAAAACCTTTCCAACCCTCTTCTCTATTTTCTAAATATCTATTTTTATTTTTACCCTTTATTTTGAAAAATATAAAAATTATTAAAAAAGTAGGCAGTGAAAAGTGAAAATATATAATAATTATAAAAATTCATTCATGCAATAATTGTTACAAAAATTATTGTTAAAATAGGTCAAAAATCTGTCATGCAAAAATTACATTGCAAAATTTTAGTTAGCAAGGAAAAAATGTTAAATTTATAAAATTTTCACAAAATAGTAGTTAAACCCTCCCCATATTGTTAACAAGACTAAAGTCAAACAAAAGTTCGCTTTAACCAAAAGGTTTAAACCAAACGGTTTAAGGGTACTTTGATCAAACCGGTTTAAGAATAAATTGAACTTTTTAAAGAAATCAACTTAATTTTAACAAGATTACATATCCAAACGGCTTCCAAAGGTTTAAGGGTTCAACAAGTGGTTTTGGATTGATTTATCCGTTTTAAAACACGATTTTCACAAGATTACATAACCATAAGCTTATAATGATTCCTAAAAGTTCACGAGTTTAAGAAGTAATTTTAAACCAGTTTAACAGGTTTTTCCTACATCAAAACCTCTCATACCAAACTTCACCTCTCATATCAAATCTCAAAATTAAACCGCTCTACATACTTTTTAAAATTTATATTACATTTAAATCCGTCTTATCTTAATCTAATCCTTTCTCATTATTTTTAATCCTTTCTTGAAAAATACAATAATTATTATAAAAAGTGGAAATTTGTTAAACTCAGTCATGCGCAAGAAAAATGGTGAAATTTACATATACTGAAAAGTAAAAATTGGGTAAATTATTAAAAAAAAAGTAGGCGTTGGAGGTAAAAATAATGTTAAAAAGTGAAAATATGTCACAAAATACGTCATGTGAAAATTGTTTCAAAAAAATTATTAAAAAGTAGGCGTGGAAAAGTGAAAATAGAAAAATTGGTCAAATAAAAATGCATTTATAAATCCAAGTTTTTGAAAATTTTCCTCATTCTTTGAATAATTTAAAAATATTGATATTACTTTACTAACCTTAAATGTCTCCTCCACCTCTAAAGAGATCGAGGATGTTTCTCATTGACAACTTATTGCAAAAGGGTGGAGGTAACTATGTTAAACAACTCGGTGAGGAAACTAAACTCACTAAAAAATTCAACATGACCAAACTGACTACAAAATTTCTAATTAATAAACTACCTCCAAACCCCGAAAGCCTACTCCAGGAAATATTCCAAACATGTATCGACAAAACAATATCTACAAGCCGCGAACACCAACTTGAACCTGATCAACTAGGTTGTATTGTCAGCAGTCAGCTGCTCGAAACTGACATTTGGATTCCCATTAGAGACATCACCAACAACACCATCGATGCCATACTTAATCAATTCTTGAAAGTCGCCCAATCCAAAAAGCAAGATAATGGTATGCTTTGGGGCGAACCATTTACAGTCTCCGTTACTACCATTGACAAGCAGAATCTCCCTAGAATACGCGTCATTAACGGAAGCGGTGGGAAATCTACTCGTAGGATAAATGATAAAAACCTCATCAAAATACGCAATACCGACAATTTATGTTTGTTTTATGCATTAATGGCTTCATACGTCTACTCAATATTTTCCTGGCCAAAATGGAAGTTCTATGATTATATGCATAGCAGAGGAGGTATGACTCATCAACTCGAACAAGATACCAAAAAACTATTGAGAGATGTTGGAGCTCCTCTTGATCAGCCAAGCTATGATGCGCAGAACTGGGTTCCCAAAGTGGTCAACTATTGGAATACATTGAACATAGGCCTGTTTAAAGTGTATATCTTTGGTGAATTTGCCGAAGAACCTATCTTCAAATACGGACAGGAAAAGTTTGATACCCCAATTATTCTTTATCACCACAATCAACATTTCGACGGTGTGCGAAGGGCATCTGATTTGTTTGGTGAAGCTTATTGCCTTTTTTGTGAAAAAACGTACAATCGTCC